ACCAACCATACAAATTTGTCTCGGTTCTTTTTGTTACTGATTGTCGTAAGTGAGTATAGTATGATACAACTTCCAAAGTGCTATATAATTTTTTTTTAAATAAAGAATAAACCATACTGGATTCTTTGGGGTTTGTATCATGCTACTGTTGTTAAATTACCAATACTGTAGTACTAAAGTAGTAGGTTTTTGCCTTTTTTTTATCTTTTCCCAACTAAAAAATTACCTCTTTAATATATACCGGTACATTTTTTTTTTATTTATGGCCTCTCAAATCAATTAAATAACAACTGTAAATGCTTAGAATGCTGGACCCCCACCGGGGTTTTGGCCCTGGACCCCCGGGGACCCTTGGCGGCCCCTGGCCTTACCTCTTTAATAAATACATTTTTTTTTAATTTATGGCCTCTCAAATCAATTAAGTAAAACCCGTAAATGCTTCGAATGCAACTCTAACCTAAGTATAATAATTTTTCAGTTAGTGTACTATGCATGCTCTACTAATTGCTTTGTAAGTCAATCACCGTCTTTTAATTTTAGATTTTTCTTTTGTTATAACCAAGTTAATTCAACAAGGACGCACATCTCCGCTATCGAACATAGCGCGTATGCACAGTCCTCTGATCTTTACTGTGGCATCTACAATCCGATACTAGTTGCGAGTACAGTCGTCAATTATTAGTCTATGCGTGCCATTCGTTTTATGGTGTTACTATTTTATTAATTTTGGGTACTTCGCATGGAGGAATTACAGTAGGCCTGTTGTTACGAAATGTACAAACAGTGTCGTTTCTACTCAGTATTGGTTCGGATATACCCACAACACTTGGAACAGAGCACAAGTGAATAGAAAAAATTCATGACAGTCATTCATAAATGTTGTTCTTTCCACTCGCTTTAAAAAGCAGGATTTTAACTATAATAGAAGATTGTTAAAAATATGTGAGTGGTGGGGAATTAATATGGTGTCCCCCTACTTTGGCGTGACCCATGTCCGCCAAAATCGACACCCATGGTTCCTTTTATGATCCAAAAAAACCAAGTATAAGTAAAAATTATATAAACATACGAATAAACTTTTCGCCGGTTTGCAGCCAGGATTAGTCATAAGTCACTATGACAATCGTCGGCATTGTGATGTTGATTCCAATGAACCTTTATTTCTACTTATGCCAGATGATCGCTAAGGATATTCCAAGAGGGATGTGCGGGGGCCGGTCTCTGTTGTCGTATGCATATTGGTCTCGGTTGATGTTATTATGATGCAGTTTATGTTTATGGCTTCTTTCCGAATGGAACATCACAATAATTAAGTATTAGGTTGTGTATATGTAAGTATGTATGCAGTGGCGGATCCTGGGGGGGGGGGGGGGGTTCAAGGTGTTCGGACGAACCCCCCTCTGTGAAGAAATGTGACAAAATACTACTGGGTCCTGGCTTACACAAGGCATATTAACCTACCTAGGCATAGGTTGAAAGATCAGACGAACTAGGATTAGCCCAACTATTTTTTTAATTTAATAAATTATACACACTGTTTTTTGTTCGCCGTCGTAATATTAATTTATGTACGAAAGTGCGTTATTCAAGTCTAGCGGTTCATCGATCTATGGAAGAAAAACTACATATCTAACTACTCAATGTAGTTGGAATATAATAACATATTGCCTGTCTTTGAGGGTGAAAACCTTGAATTTTGAAGAACTTAAAGGTCATTAAAAGACTCCTCAGCAGTCGGGAAAGCTCATTTCCGGCCATCTAGGAATCAACATTTTTCAGGGGGAGAATCCCCGACCCCCTTTTCTTTTTAGGGTTTTTTTTTTTTTTTTTTAAACATTTTGAACCACCCTTTTTTAAATCGAGGACCCGCTCCTGGTATGTATAATATAATAACAATAACAATAATAGGCCTAACAATATTAAACTAACTCTGTTTTTAACTGCTGCTTTTCAATAGTCCCAATAATTAAAGAAGATTCAGTATTCGGGGAAACGTCTTTATTGATGAGATGGAATGAATCTACCTGTATTACCCAGGACCTACAGGTGATTTACCATTATCAACTATCAGGAATAGGCCACCAAGGAAGCACAACAGGAACTGAGGTTCTTATCAATGAAGGAGTTGTACCATGTACACAGTATACTTTTGTAGTGTTAGCTGCACACATGAACGTCAACGGAACAGCAGATATTATGGAAGTCACGTCTGCATTGGATTGTAAGAATTCAGTTGATCTTTCTATGCTAAAAGAAATCATACACGAATGTAAAGCCGTTAAATATTGTTACATAAATTATGTATTCGTATTGATACTTTTATTTTTATTGATATTTTGTATTATTAATATTATCAGTATTATTTTGTTATTATTTTATTGCCAATATTGCAATAATATATCGCTCAATACTAGAATAAACTGTGTAAAATTATACATGTTAAAATGTGTGTACTGGCAATAATATTCTCTGTGATTCTTGATTAATACCCCACAGATCCCGGTAAACCAAGCATTACTTCTTTGTCATCAACGTCTTCATCTATCACACTTGAGTGGAAAGCCTCTAAAGTTAATCCGTGTCCAATACTAGAATACAATGTGTCTGTATACAGTAATTTGACCAATTTCACCGTAAATGTCATAGAAACTTCACTCTCAATATCTGAAGGTATCATGCCAAATACTAACTATTTTGTAAAGGTTTGTAAAAGAAAATGTTATCTTAATACGTACATCTACATTTTTTAAATATACAGTGGCAAATTGAAAATAGAGGGGGCCCGGGGAGGCACGTTCACAGATAGAGGACTGTACAACCTCAGCCCCATCATGGTTTGGGATGAGTGAAATTTGTAATTATGGCACCACTAGATGACCGGAAAATGCACTCACAGAATAATAATAATAATAATAATAATAATAATAATAATAATAATAATAATAATAATAATAATAATAATAATAATAATAATAATACAAAAATATCAAAAAAAAAAAACAAAAACACGGAAAACCAATATATTTTTATTGAAGTGGAATAAATTAACTAGAAAAGAAAAGAAAAACAAAGTTCCCTGGGACGTTATTAGTTCTTATTATTATTTTTGTTTTTTTGAGTAGAAATATGGATGCATTTTTTATTATTTTAGGTAGCAGCCAGGACGCAGAAAGGCTACGGTAATTTCTCAGATTTGGAAAGTGTGTCTACAAACAAAGAAAGTACTGGAATCGGTACGAAATTAAGGTTAAAATCACATGTATATTAAAATCATGGATTAAAAGTAGGCAAAGTTATTATTTAATTTTTCTCCTTGTCCAATGGATATATAATAAATGCTCTTCACCAGGACAATTCACAAAATACGTGATATGTCCACATTTTACATTCTACATGCCTCTTTAATAATATAATTTTATTTCTTATTTATCATTCGTGACCCCTTTCAGTTGCTATGAAATAAGCCAAATCGACAAGACGGGATCTCCTAATAATGCTTACCATTATAATTATCTATTTTAATGTTATAAGAATAAACAGAAAGATGAACTTAAATAGACTTGCGGCAGTGTTTCTCTCCGGAGATGCAGTTTTATCGATTATAATTTTCGAGATAAAGCTTTCAAGATTTAGCCTGTTTTACTACGAACGTGCAAGACTGTAGCATCACACCGAATTATTATACCCATTTTTCAGATCAATTATATTTCTGTGATTTCTTTAAATATTTTATTTATGTTTGTTTAGGTGCTGTTATAGGTGGTCTGACAGGAGGTGTAGCTATAGCAATTTTTGCAATTGTTATGTTTATTTTTGTTAAACGGTAAGTTTTTACTACCTTTGGTACATCATAATATTTATGTATAAGTATATCTCACCAACAAAATTGTACGACTTCTTTCAAATTGTTCAATTGATTTACCGTAATTATATCATATTATCTTCTAATTGGCCTTTTAGTATTATTATTGCAACACGTCCTAAATACAATAGTGGGGCGGATATGTGACTTGGGCGTGCACTTCTGGAAAGAAGCATGAAACTTTGTCCTAGGAGGTTTTTCAGAATGCCAATTAAAAAAATTGCGGGAACCACGATGTCACTCCTACCTCCCCCACCCCCTAAAAAAATGGAAAATTCATAATGGCCGCCAAAAAACACATTTTGGCAGTTTAAAGGCTCAAATTACCATGATCTTGGTTTCAATACCTATGTTCTTTAGTTCAAGGAATTCAATAAAACCATATTATAATACAAAACCATAATTTTTATCGTGAAAATGCAAAATTATACAATATATTAATACCTATGCTCTTTAGTTCAAGGAATCAATAAAACGTGTATAAAACACAACGCCCTAGCATACTTTTTAGTGTGAAAATGCAAAATAAATATTCAAAATGGCCGCCAATACTCACATTATTTAGCATTAAAATGACTGCAAGTGCCTTAACTATCATGACCCTTTAATGTCCACACCAATGTTAGTTCAAGGAATCCAATTGAACATATGAATTT